ATTTGATCCAGCATCTATAGTCTGCCATTTATCATTTATAACGGGTTACAAAAACATTATAAAACATTTACCGCACATTTATAGATCATTTTCGGCTACCACAACGATGTGTTATAAATACATTATTAATCCTCCTCACGCCATTTATAGGAGCCCCTTGTAATGAGGCCTGGCCCGCCCAGCCCCTGGTAAACAGAGCGCGCAGGGGCTGGTGGGGGCGGCCGGGCGGCAGGCCCAGGGCCCACGGAAGCCCAGCCCTGCTCCTGATGGCTGTGTGTCCTTGGCCAGATCACAGCACGTCTCTGTTCACAGGGCCGGTCATTTACTGGGCACTTCCTGTGTCAGCCGCCGCTCACGCCACCCTGAGCCTTGGGCTTTACCTTCAGGCCCATCTCACAGACGTGGACGCAGGCTCAAGGATTTGCCCGAGGCCACGGCTGAGCTGGTGTTAGAGCTGTGCGCGTGGTCTGTGCCTTTAGGGTCACCCATCCCGAGGCTCGGGGTGAGAGGTCAGGAGAGGCCGCCCCGGCCTTATGGAAGCAGGACTGGAGAGCTCAGAGAGTCAGGATGAGGAGGACCCGGGGCAGGGGGACCTGGGGTGGGGGACCCCGCGCACGGGCCTCTGACCTGGCAGCCCCTCAGCTCCTGCTGTCACATGCATCCCAAAGGCTCTCGGGGCTGCAAGTCTGGCCCGTGGACTTGTGAGATGCGGGCTGTGATGCTGACCAAGGGGGGAGAGGGCCTGAGGAGTCTTTGGGACCCAGCCGCCCCTCCACGGTACCCCAGCTCCACCTCCGCATCCTCAGGAGGCCCCCCCAGGGGAGGCTGAGGCCAGGGGCAGCAGTCCAGGTGTGCAGAGCAGGTGGCTGTCAGCCCTGGGACACTCACAGGGACCCTGGGCCCTGCAGCTGACGGCTTGTGCTCACCCAGATCCTCTCTCTGCCTGTGGCCCTGTGACCTCCGCCCACCGCCTCCTCCTAGGGCCTCCTCTTCCCGTCTGGAACAGAGGTGGGACCAAACCACTTGCCAGACAAGTGACCACCCAGCCCCGCTCTGTGCGGGCCGGCCCCTTGTTCCCCACCGAGCCCCACCTCCCTCCGCCCCAGGCCAGGAGGGCCCAGGCAGAGAACCAGGGCCCTGCGCTCCCCACCACTCACACCGGAGACAGACGAGAGCCCTGGGGCTCCAACTGTAGGTTAATAAGCAGAGTCCTCACCTGAAAATCTCCTATTCATCCTTCCAGACCCACTTGGCAGTCTACCTTCTGTTCTTCTGTGAAGAACTCTTCCTGACTCCCGGGGCGTGGGCCTTGTGGGGTCCCTGGGGGCCAAACTGGCACTGGGGTCTGGACTGGTGAGTGGACTCTGGGGTGAGGGAACTGGACGGTCCTCCCAGAGCGTTCCCAGCAGGTCCTTCGTCCAGGGAGGGAGAGGAGAGCAGGCCCCGGGGAGGCCTTAAACCACGCCCCCCCCCCCCCCCC